AAGTATGGAAAAAGAGAGCACAAAGTTTGAATAAAGAATCGACTTCTTGACAAACAGTATACGTAGTCTGAGCACGAAAATACTGCATACGCCAGATGTCTTGAAGTAAAACTCACCTAATTCTACTACACCTCGAGCCTGCCAATAATATTATTATAGTGGATGGTTGCTTCGTTTTTTGACATCCGTTGTTGCAGGTCGGTTATGCGAGCAGACTCGCCGTTAGCCCACAACATGATCTATGGAGATACGCCGTTCGTTCAGTATTTCCCTTTGTATCCATTTTTTTTTTTTTTTTTTGTTTTCAATGTTTCTTTCTTACTCGTAATCATGAAAGGCTAGGTTGTTGTTTTTTCTTGAAATCGTGATATGAAACGCATTAGTTAAGATATCCAACGTTTATTATAAGCCTCAAAAAATATTTACATGTGAACCGTCAAAATATTTTGCATTTTTTCTTTATTTGAAAACATTCAAAAGCCTTATCGTGAGTAGAGTCAACGCATTTTTTTTGTATATAAGTTACTGGTTATCACATCCGTTCACTGTAAATGAAAATGAAAATCGTAAAAACTTTAGTTCTCTGTTTAAACGTGCTAATTAATTTAGCTATTATACATTCCATTCCAATTTTCGAAGACACGAGTGATTTTATTTCTGATTTGTCGAGTGTAGATTTAGATAAACCATTCGAGGTAAACCTTTATGTTCGCAATGAAACCAGAGCACCAGGAGGCGTCACAAGAAACATAATCACCGTAAATAGGCGGTTTCCTAGTCCAGAAATTTCCATTTACAAAGGTCAAAAGTTAAAGATTTGGGTGCACAATTTGTTCGAAAACGATAACATAACAATACACTGGCATGGACTCGTGCATAGCGGTACACCTTTTTTAGATGGTACATCGGCGGTAACCCAATGCCCCATAAGACCCGGTCGTTCTTTTACCTATGAAATTGTGGCAAACAATTCGGGAACTTTTTGGTAGTGAGTAAAATTGTAAGAATTTTAATCTTATAATCTGCAAATAATGATGCACTATGTTTTCCCGACAGTCACGCACACTATTCAACACTCCTATTGGATGGATTATACGGTCCGCTTATCGTTAAGGAACCAGAGGACCACAAAATTTTCGGATACGTTGATGAGACCACGATTATGATGTCCGATTGGTATTATTACCAGTCCGAACAAATTGAGGATGCATATAGATACTATAACAACTTACATTCATATCTCGATCCAATACCTGAGGTGTATATTGGTGAATCGTTATTTGCATTTACAGTATATTTTGCTTGTTCAATGTACAGCATAAATCATTTAATCTCATTAGACCGTTCCGGATAGTGGTTTGATTAACGGGAGAAATGGGGAATGCCCTCGTCAGCATGGTTGCAAATACAACGAAGGATTTTCGGAATTTATTTTTGAGAAAGGAAAAAGAATTCGCATCCGCTTAATTAATGCAAGGTACTCAATACTTGTTATTTGATCCATTAACGGTCTATTTACCTATGTACCGTACTAACGACATCGATGGCGCAGCTCGATGTCTTCATTTTTATTCTCGGTCGACGATCATCTTATTCAAATAATTGAAGTCGAAGGAACACTTGTTAAGCCATCCGAAAAATTACATTATATATCGATCGGTGTATCTCAACGATATTCTATAATCATTAGTCAAGTTAATAATTCAACATCAACCAATAATTATTGGATGCGGGCAACTTTTCAGGCGAAATGCCTAAGGTCCACCACTCCGCAGGAAAAATTAAGGAAACTTCCAAAGGAAGTCAAAGCAATCGTTCGCTATAACTTAAACGATAAATCTATACCACGAACTAAATCCTGGGTTAACGAATCAGTAGGGTGCATCGATAGTGAATTAAAAGGATTAATCCCATATTACGAGCAAAATGTATTAAGCCCAACTGTCGAGTTAAAGTTGCAGATAATTATGGGTGTTAATAATTCAATGGTGAATCCAACACCCCTTAGTTCTGTAGCCTCATTATCAAGAGGATTCAATCCTTCTATTTTTCTTCGTGACTCAAATACCCTTCTAGAGTTGTACCGAGGGACCGAGTTTAATATTTCGTTAAATTTTTATGAATTCGAGAAGATCGAAGTCGTTGATATTTTTTTGATAAGTAGTAATAGTTTTAAGTGCTCTATTGGTATTGTGCATTTATAACTCACAACCTTATTTATTATTCTTATAGACGAAGATTCAATTCTACATCCTTTTCATCTGGTGAGTTCATCAATTTGATTTACTTTTCTCTTTTAAGGATCTCACTTATGAAACTGTATTGACAGCACGGTAATTCCTTTTGGTATCTCGGATCTGGGAATTCAACCACTCCTTTAGGAGAAGGCAGAAATACAAAGAATCCAATTAAACGGGATGTTGGAATTGTTCCTGGTCATGGGTAATTCATTTATTATTATTATATATACTGTATATATATTTTGTAATATTTCTGCGTGATAAATCGTAAATACGCGTACTTACAGTATATGTTTTAGATGGGCAAATATTCGCTTCATAACCGATAATCCTGGTGTATGGTTGTTTCATTGTCACGTGTCGGTTAGTTAAAAAATATTCTTTGATAATAAAACGGATCCGTATATTGATTTGTCAATTTACTTACCTTAATTACCACCTACACCAGTGGCATCTTGCTTTTGGCATGTCCGCTCAATTCATTGTTTTACCCAGAGAGATTTTAAAAATCAAACCTCCTGACGAATGGTATGAATTATGCAAATCGCACTCGGAGGACGTTTAAACATATGAATAGATCTATTAGCCACACATGTACGGTATAGGCTACTGAATTTCGAATTTTTTTTTTTTTTTCTTTTATTCGAAAAAATTTCAAAACTACAGTATGACTACTGTAAATGCAGTTCATTTTATGAGCTTTACGGACATGATATCACAACCGTTCTCTAGAAATAACAACGAAACCATAAAAAGCAAGCCTACAACTCAATATAATCAATAAATTGATTGTTAAAATAGGTCTTTATAATCGTAATTGAACTGGAATGCTTAAAAATGTCGCAAGAAATCTAATAAAAATCATCAATTATTATCTCCTGGTTCCGAAATTATATCAACACTCTGTTTAATCGATCGGTTCAATTATTTCTAGATCAGAATTTCACTAGATCTTTTTTGAATGGACATGAAAAACAAACATCTTTATCATTTGTCCCGCAAACAAGATACGATATCAAAACAAAACAACCCTCTGAAATCATATGTTTGAAAGATCCTTTAAACTTGCTATCAAATGAAAATCAAACATTTACAATTACAAAATCAATTGATGCAAATTATTCCTTGGCTTTATTTCTATTATGTATATCATTGTAATGTTGACTAATGGTTTTTTATTTCTTTTAGAAAGTCCGCTAAAACTGTTCAATAGTTCGCAGTATTCATTTGTGTGATTGTTGGTAAGGTTATATAAAATTCTTGAGTGAATTTCCCGAAAATAGTAGTAATCTAATGCCATTTAAAATAATAATATAAATCTTACTGAAACCAACTTACTAATAATATATTACTTTGATAAGATGGAGAATTTACAAAATTATTCTATATGGTAAACATGATTGATTGATTTCATACATTTATTTTTACATGTTTTGAATGATTTTTATTTACTAATTACTGTATAATGAATTACAATTATACTGAAAACATTGGTAGGGATTTAATGTATGATTTATATTATATAACTTATATATAAATATCAAATAAAAATATTTATGTTTAAATTAATATTATTTTCAACATATTACTTTCAAACAAAAAACTAAAATTTGTTAAATAAATTTTAATTCTTTATTCAAAAATTATATACTGTATAAATATATGATTTTGTCTTGTTTAAGATTTTCAAATAAAGTTATTTTGATAGTCTCTTAAATTTAATATTTTTTAAAATACATCTTGTGTTTTAAACTTCTTTTCTAAAATATTTGTAAATCTTCTTTTATATTTTATAAATTTATATTCTTGCTTCATTACTAATTTATTTTTTATAATACTTTAATTCTATTGTTTTTGAAATTGAATTATTTTTATTAAATCTATATAAAAACTCAATATATCTTTATTAATTATAAAAATCTATCTAATTATCTTAAATAATTATCTGTTTATTTCTTCAATTTTTTAATTATTATTTACTATTATTGTTATCTTTTTTTATTCTTATTTTTTGTGATATTTTAAGGAATTATTATTATTATTTTCTATTATTGTCTCTTTTAAACTTTTTTTTTATAGATTATAGATCTTATTAAATAATTAAAACTTTTTTTCTTTTTATATTTATATATTTAAAATAGAGGATTTATTATTTATTATTCCAACCTCAAAATGTTTTTTTATAAGTTTTTTAAAAAATATTACATATATATAAATAATTATTTTTAAAAGTAAATAAAAAATTTTTAAAATTAAAATTATATTCTCAAAAATAATAATTTGAAATTATAATCTTAAAATTATAAGCTTAAAATTATAATTTTAAAAATTTACTATATATTCTTTATTTTTTTTATTATTTTTTTTAATTAAAATTATATTAAATAAAATAATAAAATTAAAATTAAATATAAGGTAAAACTTATATAAAAAAAAAATAATAAAATTTAAAACCATATATAATTATTATTTATACTTTGGCAACCTTTTTCCCAATCACTTGAGACGTAGCAATCTCGACAACAGGGAAATGGCTTCCAACACTAGAAACCCTAAGGTTTCGCAGCTCGAACAACAAAGAGTAGAAAGACAATTAAGTGCAGAAAGAAGGAGCAAGGAAACTGTCTCCTTCCGTAATCAACCATATGTCAAGAAGCCCACCAACACGTAGACAAAGACAATAACAACTTTGGCAGCAGGTCCCAACAATGATGGCAAGGAGTCAGGCCCCCAGGAGGCCTTAACAGAAATAACAACTGGCGTAACAACCATGGACATAGAAACCGAAACCCCCTGGATGGAACGAACGTGAAGCGAGCAGATGGAAGAAGAAAAAAACATCAGTGGAAGCCCTCCGGTCAAACAAACACTCTAGGCAGAAGGAACGACCAGCCAGGAATACACACAAGAGGTGAAAACAAGCACTCCGTTTGGAACACGACACTCAGCAACGCAGAACAAACTGGCTTCTGAGTTAAATGAGGAGAAACGATGGACACCAGATGAACGAAAGAACAAACCAACCCGTCATACCAACAAGCCCAGACTGAGGTCATCAGTCAACCCAGAGGTTAGATACGGAAGAGAAAGGTTCAAAGTGGGAATTGACGCCAACATTACTCCAGGACAGAACAACGATGCAAAAATTCTATACATAATGAAAGCCCTCAACTCCCCTCCGGGTCTCATCGCAATTTGCAGTGAACACAGCAAGGAGGGCACTCAAATCATCGCGATTTTTGAGGATCAACAAGCGGCAAATGACGCAACCAGAATAGAGTTGCCAAATCTAGGTGACAACAAGCTCACACACAAACACATCAGTAAACAGATAATCGAAAAAGGCAAATCCATAGTGGTCTGGGACATAACCCTGAACACGAGACTCATGAAGGTCAGATAACACTTTACCAGATTTGGCAACATAGCAGGTATTAGTATGAGAACACAAAACCTGTGGCAGTACACCACCATCATCTTTGAGGAAGAAACAGTCAAGGAAGACCTCGTCAAAAAGCGTAGCATTCTCATCAAAGGAGACGCAGTCAGGATAAATGATGCCAACTGGTCTGTGGATCAGATGAGGGAATGACACAGCATAGCAGCCAAACTAGTGAACCTGCCACCAGGTAC